AAAAAACGCAACTTTGATACCTTTAGAGCTTTTGGGACACCCTGTACATTACGAAAATATTTTTAAAATGTGCGCTCGGTAGGCGTCGGACAATTGATAAAATAATACTTTGTAAAAATCAAACGGTTTAGCCGCAAACTTCCGTGCCGTATAGCGTGAATAACCCTGTAGATGTGTATCAATTGAGGTACACACGCACCTGGAGATGTACATGGGAATCACTTCGGGGGTCTTTTTTGTAATGAAATTCAGCACTGAGACGCCGCCTTTGGTTCGCAAGGTGACGTCGCCTCCGTTCTGGAGCAACAGGATGACGCAGTTGGAAAACTCGTTCAGCGCCGCTGAGTGCATCGGGGTGTAGCCATAAGCGTCGGCCACATTTGGGTCAGCTCCAAAGCGCAGCAACGCGCGTACACATTCGCAGGAGCGTTGCACGTTTACAGTTGCACAGTGCAATGGGGTGCGACCGTCACTGTCCGCAGCATTGGCGCTGGCCCCTGAAACTCAGAATTCTCACAGTCGTCTTCAAAAGGGCCGCACCAGAAAGCCATACCTTTTTGTAGCAAAAGTTCGCAAGTTTCCGTGCATTGCGCCAGCACAGCCACATGCAGTGGAGTCTGGCGCTTTCGATTCGGCGCATTCACATTGGCGCCTGCAGCGATCAGAAGCTGCACGCAGTTCGGGTAGCCTTGTTCGGCTGCTAGGTGGAGCGGCGTCAACTTGTCCTCGCCACTTTGCACTTTCACTGCAGCCCCATACTGCAGCAGGAGCTTCACCACTTCCGCATTGCCCAGAGCAGCCGCCACATGAAGCGGCGCTTCACTGTACACCTGCGGAATGCTTGGTTATAGGATCTTGTAGATCAAACATATTGTACCGTGGATGGCCGGGTATCCAACTCTTGCTTTGCGATTTTGCGCATGTTTCTGCATAGTTACCTACTCATGTTCCACAGGCCTAGGGATGTCTTCGATTTTATCACTCACAGTTTTATCAGCAACCGACAATTCTTCAGTCTTCACAATAGTCGCTTCGTTCGTAATCACCTTGTCTGATGGGAGTTCTTCTGTGATTCCAAAATTGCTATACTTTCCGTCTTTACCACATCCTTCACTTTCGCCGCTGTTAATGTCTCTTCCACAGAGTCGACTTCTTTCGCCACTTGAGAGTTTTCCTCTGTTGAAACAGTTACTTTTGATAGCATAATACCTGATAAGTTTTCACAAGAGTTATCAGTTTTAGCCATATCATCTCCTTCAGAGACAACTGAATCAGTTATTTCCCCAACTAGGGACATTTTCTGATCAGAACTAGCCACTTCGGGCTCCATCTGAATTTCCTCTAAATGCTCCTGAGCAATTTGTTCATTCGCGATCTCGACAATACCATCTTCTCGATCAACTTTCGGATCTTTAACTACTGGATTTTTATATTCTGGCTCTTCCACTACTGCAGGAATGCCCACGATTTCAGAGTTTTTCAAATCATCAGTTACTTCCTCGATTTTCTTTAGTTTGCCTTCAACGGTTGTTTTCAGGTCTTCAATTTTCTTAGCGTTGTCGTCCATTTTATTCAGCATCTCTTTGTATTTGTCATTCATTTTG